CAGGCACTTCCAGCCCAGTCCATGGGTCGCTATTCATAGCTCCATGGCACGGTTAAGCTCAGATGCAGAAGCAGCTTTAATGAACTTCAGCCTTTTCCCAAAATAGCCCCTTTCCCTGCCTCACAGATGCCCTTAAAACACAGGACAGTTCTAAGAAATGACAGTGAGCTAGCACCACTTATATTATCCTGGATTGAGCTTAAGCCCATTATCCAAAGTGAGGTGACACAAGATGGGAAGAATGGGATCCACATGTACTCGCCATCAAATTGGTACTGACTGATTAACGCTATAGTACTCAAATGGTGGTGGTGTTCACCAAAGATTCAGGGGTTGGGGGGAGTGTACCCACATCTGAGGGATGTGGTGAGCATTGTGGAGGGGAAGGGCATACCTCTAACCCTTGCTAGGGAGAGGCAAAGATATAAAATGCAACCAAAATATTTGTACTCTCATATTTTTCTTGAAATAAAAACAAACAAACAAAGAAAAAACACAGGACAGGCACAGAGGGGGGAGGCAGGAGAGAGCAGAAGCCCTTCATCCCTGAGTGGATGAATTTCTGGCCTCATACAGTCTTGGTTGGTCCTGCTGGTGGGTCTCCGGGCCCAGTGAGACAGCGTCTCCTCCTCCTCTTCCTCTTTCTAGTCTATATTCATTCCTTCATTCATTCCTTCCTTCATTCATCCCTTAAAGATGAGGGCCTTCTCTGTACCAGGCATTGTTCTAAGCCCTGGGATATAGCCGTGAACCAGATGGACAGCTGTCTCTGTCCTAGTCTGACTGGCCACCAGGTGTCACCAGTGTCAGTCACATGGCCTCTTGCAGCCCTGAGAAGAGATGGGTCCGGAAGGGGAAGTGTGGATGGGTGAACTTGGCCGGCTCTGCTCAGTCAGCCTGAATCAGAAGCAAGTTCCTCAAACAGAAAGAAAATCTACCTCCTTGCCCATCTTCCATAATAAAGACACTCTTGGCCGGGCTCGGTGGCTCACGCCTGTAATCCTACCACTCTGGGAGGCTGAGGCAGGAGGATCATTTGAGCTCAGGAGTTCCAGACCAGCCTGAGCAAGACCAAGACCTCACCTCTACTAAAAATAGAAAGAAACTAGCTGGACAACTAAAAATATATAGAAAAAATTAGCCGGGCATGGTGGCGCATGCCTGTAGTCCCAGCTACTCAGGAGGCTGAGGCAGAAGGATTGCTTGAGCCCAGGAATTTGAGGTTGCTGTGAGCTAAGCTGACGCCACAGCACTCTAGCCTGGCAACAGAGCAAGACTCTGTCTCAAAAAATAAAAGATAAAAAAAATAAAATAAAGACACTCTCGTGACTTCTTCAACAACCCAGCTGACCTGGGACCTTGGGAATTCACAACCTACATCCATTCTGGAATTCTGTCTGCAGCCTGTTCCTCACAGAGAGCCCACCAGTCTTCTTATAAATCCCTTTGGTGATCCCAGCTCATTACCTCACAAGGTAGCCTATGTTCTTAGAAGATTCTTCCTGATTTAGAACCAAAACTTGACATTCACTCTGACTGGTCCTACTTCTGCCATCTGTGGTCAGAAAGAGGAAGGCTCTTCTGCCCCACATGGTCCTTCAGACATTTGAAGAAATTGCTTGGGTCTCCTGAGTTTGTGTGTTCATTTATTTGTTTGTTCACTCTTGCGTGACTATGTACAGAGCATTGGCCGTGTCAGGCCTTGGGGGCCACAGCGGAGAGCAAATACGATTGAGATCTTTCCTCCCATGGTTGGTAGTCGGTCCAGGAAGGCGACAAACAAACCAGTTTAACAATAAAACATGCACAAGGCCAAATAAGAGTGATCTGAAGCAGGAGGCAAGGCCCTCACCCAGCCTGGGAGCCGGGAAGACCTCCTGGGGGGATCTCCCTGCAGTCAGGCAAGAGCAGAGCAACTTCAATGCAGTTTAAATGTCCAGGTTTTAAAGGAAACCTGGGAGGGTGTTGCAGGTGCCCTGAGCTTAGTCTGCTCACCAGGAAATGCAGCAGCATAGGGGTGTCTGGGGGACAGAGGAGGGGCTAGAAAAGCCACCCAGGCAGTGGGAGGGAGCATGGAGTGTCTTGGGGGCTGGCAAGGCTCAGTCTTGCTGGAGTGCACACCTGAGGAAGGAGCTATGAGGCAACAGGCCCACAAGGAAGGAAGAAGCACCTTTGGGCCCCTCAGTGCCTTCTGGACACCAGGGTCAAGGTCCAGATCTGGCCTGATTAGTCACCTCTTTTGCTGCAGACACTACATTCCACTAACGTGGCCCAGGAAGACACCAGCCTTGTCACGATGATCCGAAGTGCACTTGTGGCCCTTCACAGCCCTCAGGGATTCTTTGTGGGTTTTTTTGGTTTTTATTTTTAGGCAAAGTCTCGCTTTGTTGCCCAGGCTAGAGTGAGTGCCATGGCGTCAGCCTAGCTCACAGCAACCTCAAATTCCTGGGCTCAAGCAATCCTGCTGCCTCAGCTCCCCGAGTAGCTAGGACTACAGGCATGCGCCACCATGCCCGGCTAATTTTTTCTCTATATATTAGTTGGCCAATTAATTTCTTTCTATTTATAGTAGAGATGGGGGTCTCGCTCTTGCTCAGGCTGGTTTCGAACTGCTGATCTCGAGCAATCCACCTGCCTTGGCCTCCCAGTGTGCTAGGATTACAGGCGTGAGCCACCGTGCCCGGCCCCTCAGGGATTCTTCAATTGCACTGCTAAGAGGCCAAAGCATCCCTGTCTAGGGATCACATGGCTGGGTTTATAAACCTCAGACTAAGCTTCATTTCCATCTTTCTCTTTCTCATTTCCTTTTTTCTCAGTTTTGATTACACAAACAATACGTGTTCATTTTAATAAAAAAATTTAAAACACAATAAGCAAAATGAAAATCTAAAATGACTTTGTGCTATTTTATTTATTGCTATGTAACAAATTACCCCCAAACTAAGTAGCTTCAAACAAGAAACATTTATTACCTTACAGTTCTCAGATTCAGTGTTGTAAGAGTGGCTTAACCGGATGTCTCTGGCTCAGGGTTTCTCATGAGATTGCAATCCAGATGTCAGCTGGGGCTGCAGTCATCTGAAGGTTTGGCTGGGGCTGGGAGTCCACTGCCAAGGTGGCTGATTCTTACACCTAGCAAGATATTGCTAATTGTTGCTAGGAGGACTGGTAGCTTACCACTTGGACCCCTTCACAAGGCTGTGGGAGTGTTCTTACGACACTGCAGCTGACTTTCATCAGAGCAAGAGGTCCAAGAAAGGGAAGAAAGAGGAAGCCACAATTCTTTTTGTGACCTGGTTAGTCCTACATTTGGGAGTAAAATGAAGCTCCACTCTTTGAAGAATTTGTGGCCATCTTTTTAAACCTCCACACTCCTGTCCCCTTTCAATATAACCACTATGCACATTTTGTCATATTTACAACCATAATTGTTCTCATGCAAATATAGACATCTACTTTAAAAAATAAAAAAATGGGATCATTACATACTTGCTATGGTTTATTACTGTTTTATTAGTGTTTGAATAGGTAATTATGCACACAATATAAAAATTTAAAGGTATACAAACACAAAGGATATGCAATTAGAAGTGAGTCTTGGCTGGGCTCAGTGGCTCACGCCTGTAATCCTAGCACTCTGGGAGGCCAAGGCAGGAGGATTGCTTGAGCTCAGGAGTTCAAGACCTGAGCAAGAGCAAGATGCCATCTCTGCAAAAAATAGAAAAAATTAGCTGAGCATGGTGGCACACACCTATAATCCCAGGTACTCGGGAGGCTGAGGCAGGAGGATCGCTTAAGCCCAGGAGGTTGCTGTGAACTAGGCTGAAGCCACCGCACTCTAGCCTGGGCAACAGAGTGAGACTCTGTCTCAAAAAAACAAACAAACAAAAAAGACAAGAAAAAGAGGAAATGCCATGCATGTGAAGACAGACACACAGAGGAGAGCACCGTGTGGTGATGGAAGAAGAGATTTTGCTCCTGAAAAGCAGGGGACACCTGGGACTACCAGAAGGTGGGAGGGGCAAGGAAACATCCTCCTCTGGAGGTTTCAGAGGAGGTATGGCCCTATCGACACCTTGATTTTGAACTTCTAGCCTCCAGAACTATGATGGGATAGACTTCTGTTGTCTTTAAGCCACCAAATGTGTGATATTTTGTTGCAGCAGCCCTCAGAAACTGACACAGACCCCCAGCATGCTCCTATGCCCAGCAGCCCCAGCCACTTCTCTGTCCCTGCACAGGCAAAGCTCCTTCCCACCCCCCAGGGCCTCTGTATGTGTAGCTCCTTTCAGAATGTTCTACACCCTCCCGCCCTGCCCTCATCCCTCTCATACTCCTTCCAAACTCGCTCAAATGGCCACCTTCAGGGCAATGTGGACTTGGGCACCCCAGTTCCCCTCAGAGCAGCAAGCCGAGCGCACCGTGTGTGGCCTTCACCACATCCTCACTTAACTCAGCAGTTGTGTTCTGCCCATTTCCCCTGCCCACTGTAGGTGCCATGACAACGGGGGCCGGCCCGGCACATGCACCAGCAATCCTTCCCCACACTGAGCATGGTCCCTGCCCGTGGCAGGAAGCCAGGACACATGAGGGTGGAGTGCAGGGTACAGGTGTGTGACATGCCAGGCCCCGATGGAAGGCCCAGGCGGTGGGGCCTCTGCTCCCTTAGCACCTGCGCTCCTCGCCCCTCCACAGGCCCCTTCTCTCCACCAGGCCAGACAAGGTCAGGAACTGGCTCCTGACCCACTAGGCTCCCGCTGGCCTCCCTGTCTCCCTGGCCCCCATGGTTCCCACTCCTCTCAGCCAAGCCACATTGCAGTCCCTCAGGGATGACCTGGCCCCAGTGCCCTCTGCACCTGTCAGGCCTGTACCAGAGCAGGTTCAAACTCCGGCAAGGGAGCGCAGAGCAGCCAGCTGGGCAGAGGAGAGGTGGAGAGGACAGAGGGGAGTGGAAGGAGATCCCAGGACTGAGGCAGCGTTGGGATTTTCTCTCTTTACAGCATACCTGAAACATCAAACAAATGATACATGTTCAACATAGGACAAAGAAATCCTAGAAAACATAATGAACTATCTGAGGGATAGACACACTTGAAGCTCTGACTCAGGTAGGCCAAACGCAATATACGTAACCTAAACATTTGTCATTTGTACCCCTGTAATATGCTGAAATAAAAAAGAAGAAAGAAAACATAATGAGCAAGAAGGGAAAAAGAAAAGAAAAATCACCCACATTCCTATGGTGCGGAGTAATCATGTTAGCATTTTGTCATATATCCTTCTAGATCTTTGTGTGAGCCAATTGTAGGGGAGAGAAAGTGTAGGGAACTCCCTTCATTCTTAGGACATGATTTTCAAAAAGCCAGAGGATTTCCAGGAAGCCTCATTGCTCCTGTGAGGCCAGGGGCACCTGCAAGTGTGTGTGTCTTCCTGTGTGTGGTTGTGACATGGGGAAGGTCCAGGCAAGGACGCTCTGAGCTGGGCAGGAATGAAGTGCGGCTGCTCTGCAGGTGCCACCCGAACCCCCTCCCCAGGCCTGCCCCTGTCTTCCAATCTATGCATCAACCTGCCTGGAGCGGCAGCAGACACTGCCCACCCCAGGGGAAGCTATAAGCATGAAGCTTGGTCCTGCTGCCTTTCACTCCCTCCCATTAAATCGAGGCTTCCTTCCAAACTCGCTCAAATGGCCACCTCCAGGGAAATGTGGACTTGGGCATTCCAGTTCCCCTCAGAGCAGCAAGCCGAGCTCATTGTTTGTGGCCCACACCACATCCGTAGCTGCTCACTGTGACCTGGGCTTTGGAGCCACCCACCCTGGATTCCCTGCTCCCTCCCTCGCTTACTCACGGAGCCTCAGGTCATCCATCTGTAAAGCCAGGATAAAGCTACACCTCCCTGGAAGGGCGCTGGGAGGACTAAGCGAAAGGGTCTATAGTGTCTGGAACAAGGTAAGCACTTTATCATTATCATCCATACCACTGCCTTTTTCTTTCTTTTTTTCTTTTTTAGAGGCAGGGTCTCATGATGTTGTTGCCCAGGCTGGTCTCCAACTCCTGGCCTCGAGCCATCCTCCCGAGCACCTGGGGTGCAGGTGCAAGCCACGGAGCTGGCACAACGGCCTCCTTGACAGGAACCCGTGGGCTCTCTCTGAGAAGCCGCAGGCGTGGCCATTTCCTCTGAAGAGCCAGGCCGTTGTTACAGGAAATAACTCTGCTCATTTTCCCCGCCTCCCTCCTGATGTCACGGTCTTCAGAAAGAGGATCTGCATCTGGAAATCAGAATAAAAATAAATAGACAGGGAAGCAGCGCGTGGTGCGTGTGGCCTCTGGCGTGTGGAGTCCTGTCCAGGCGTTGGGTAGAGTGTGTCTGGTCGTGGGGGCGTGAGGGGGACTGGGGTTCAGGGTGCGACTGTGCTGAGTGCGAGCGTGTGGAAACATCCTCGGTTTGGGGGTAGCACAGGGCAACGGGGTGGGGGCTTTCTCAGCTTTACCCCACCCTACCCCCACCCCAAGACAGGCCAGGCTCTCCGGGCTTTGACAGGGAAGCAGGAAGTACCCTCCTTCCCAGTGCACCTAGAGTCGCAGTTCAGCGGGATGGATGGCAGGGCTGGAGCGTTGTGGAGAGAGCAGTTGTTTCTAACTTTGCTTTTTCATTTTCATTTTCTGCACTCAGAGAGGCTGCCCTTGGTCGCTGCCGGCCGGCGCGCTGGGCAGGGCCTTCTCTCGCCGCCGTCATCTCCCAGGAGCAGCCTGTGTCCAGGGGGCAGAAGGTAGGATCAGGAGCAGCCGGGGTCAGGGAGCTGCCCTGCCCCCACTTCCTGAGCTCCAGTTTTGTGCTTTGCTGACTAATGTCCTCCCTGGGACAGATTCTGGGGACTGAGGAGCCCAGGTCCCCAAGGGTCCCTGGTTGGGTAGGGCTGCACAGGACCCTTTCAAGTCTGGCTCTAAGATAGCCGCTTCCTTCTTTCTTCGCCACACCTGTGGCCTCACTGGGGTTTGGTGGGGCATGCGTGTGCGGGTCCTGCTCTGTTTTCAGCAAAACTCTTGGACAGGAGCTTCGGGATGATGTATTCCCAGCCCGTCTCCTAGAGCAGCCTCTGGGAATGGCGGGGGCCAGAGAAAGGGAAAACTGGGGGGAGGTGCCCAGCCAGGGCCTCAGTCTCAGAAGGGCAGGAAAGTGAGGAGAGCATGGCCATGGTTTTCTCGGTGCCCACAGATGCCTCACTCCAGCCTGCATCCGTCTATTCCGCGTCCCAGGCGTGATGGGGCCCGGATGGCAGCCTTTGTCCTGCTGATTGTCTGCCTGGCAGCCCTTTGCAGCCCAGGGCTACAGCAACACATTTTCCAGCACCTGCTGCTCCACGTGGCCTCCCTGCAGATGGCATGGCTCTTGACTAGGGTCTGCATTCTGATGGAGGAGCTGTGTCACGTCCATTCCAGGTGATTCTCTGCAGTACCAGTGGTGACTGGGCACCCAACATGTGTCTGTCCCTTGACACCTAAGCCTGCCCTTCCCTGAACTTTTGTGGCTGAGCTGGGCTGGGGGCGGGGGCTTGGCTGTCATCTGCAGGTACCAAGGCAGCTACTGGAAGGCTGTGGAGTCCTGCCTGGAATGCCCCATCCGCCGTGGGGCTCTGCTGCTGCTGTCCTGTTATTTCTACTTCTCCCTCCCAAATGAGACTGGCCTGCCCATCCCTTGCGTGCTTGCCATCATGGGCATCTCAGAGGCCATGAACATCATCCTGGGCCTTCACGTAAGACAGAGGGAGCTGGAGGGGTCTGGCCAAGCAGAGGCTATGGCTGGTGCGACCTGCTTTGAGCACAGTACTGTGAGTCGTTTAAAGGTTGGAATCCTTGAAGTATGGCCTATAATATCCTGGAATATGGCCTATAATGTCCTGGAACAGTGGGTTCAGCAGTGGCAGAGAAGGGAGCAAATTGGCAGCAGATTGGGAAATCTTGGAGGAGGAGGGCTTGGGTGTCCTTCATGGAGATCCCCAATGCCATCCTGCTGTCCACAGAAGCCGGCCCCAGCTGAGGTCTCTGCAATCTGTGAAAAAAAGAACTTCAACGTGGCCCATGGGCTGGCATGGTCGTACTACATCGGGTACCTGCGGCTTATCCTGCCAGGTGGGCCATCCTCTATGCTCCTATTTCCAGACCTATAAGACAGACAATAAGACACACAGCCTCCTGTGTTTCCAGGACTTGCTATACCTTTCAAAGCATTTTCATAGCCTTCCAAATCATTTGATTCCCAAAGCATCCTAGTAGGTGTGAAGGATGTTGTTATTATGCCTGATTTATAGTAAGAAATATGGGGCTTAGAGCCATTTCGTGACTGCCCAAGGTCACCTGTGAAGTCTTTCTCTTTCCTTTTCTTTCTTTTTTTTTTTTTTTTTTTTGATGAGGAGGGACAGGGTCTTTCTCTGTTGCCCAGGCTGGAGTGAATTGATATAACCATAGCTTACTACAGCCTCGAACTGCTGGGCTCAAGCCATTCTCTTGCTTCAGCCTCCTGAGTAGCTGGGACTACAGGCACAAGCCATCATGCCCAGCTAATTTTTAAAATTTTTTTGTAGGGACAAGGTTCTCACCATGTTGGCCAGGATAGTCTCAAACCCCTGGCCTCACGCACTCCTCCCACCCGAGCCTCCCAAAGCTCCCAGCCATCATCCCTATTTTACAGATTTTATTTTATTTTATTTTATTTTATTTTATTTTATTTTATTTTATTTTATTTTATTTTGAGACAGAGTCTTGCTTTGTTGCCCAGGCTAGAGTGAGTGCCATGGCATCAGCCTAGTTCACAGCAACCTCAAGATCCTCCTGCCTCAGCCTCCCGAGTAGCTGGGACTACAGGCATGCGCCACCCTGCCCGGCTAATTTTTTCTATATATATTAGTTGGCCAATTAATTTGTTTCTATTTATAGTAGAGACAGGGTCTTGCTCTTGCTCAGGCTGGTTTTGAATTCCTGACCTGGAGCAATCTTCCTGCCTCGGCCTCCCAGAGTGCTAGGATTACAGGCGTGAGCCACTGCGCCCGGCCTATTTTACAGATTTTAAAAAGTGCAGTTCTGAGAGATCAAGTAACTTGTCTGATGTCACAAGACTTAGGGGGAGGCGGAGAAAGAGTCTGAGTCTGCCCAGAGCCTGGACCCTTGACCCCCACACTGTGGAGCCAAGGCGTCTCATCCCTCTGGCTGGCAGGCTGAAGCTGCGGCTCCTCTCCCACATCTCGTTGCTATCTCCCGTTGACACAAGGGCTTCTGCTAGAAGATAGTTCTGGAGGGCTGGTTCTGTGCACCTGGGAATGCTGGGAATGTCACCTTCCAGGGCTCAGCCTATCCCTCAGACCCCTGAATGCTATGGTGGGAAGGAGTGTGGCTGATGCAGAAATCTGGGAAAAGGAGAAGTCAGGGGGAAGTGTGGCGGGTAGGAGGAGGGTCCGGAAGGGTTCCTGGATGCTCTGCCCCTCCTGGCCTTCTATACAGTGACAGTGGACTGAACCCTCCGTTCTTCTGCACACTGAGGGGGCCAATGACCCGGGTCTCGGTCCGGAATCAGGTAGCAGACAGTGTTAGTGGGAATGACTCCATGGGCTTCCTTACTCCAGGGCTCCAGGCCCGGATCAGAGCTTACAATCAGCTCCACAACAACATGCTACGAGGCGCAGGGAGCCGGCGGCTGTACATCCTCTTCCCACTGGATTGCGGGGTGCCTGATGACCTGAGTGTGGTCGACCCGAACATTCGCTTCCTTCACGTGCTGCCCCAGCATAGCGCTGACCGTGCCGGCGTCAAGGGTCGGGTTTACACCAACAGCGTCTATGAGATTCTGGAGAACGGGCAGCCGGTGAGTATCCAAGGAGGCGGGGGCTCCTGGGGATGACGGGTCAGGCCCCCCAGAACCCTGGGCCCTGGCCAGGCGCTGATGACCACACCTCTCTGGACCTGTTTCCCCAGTTGGTCCTGGGGCTGGGCAAGATTCAACTCTGAATGATGGTGATAAGTAACATTTATTGGGCACGTACTGCATGCCAGATGCTTTTCTGGGTGCATCTTCTGACCACCTCATTGAAACCTCACCACCACCCTGTGGGGCAGGGTCTGTGGTGATCCCTACTTTACAGAGGAGGAGACTGAGGCTCAGAAATATGGGGGAAGGGACGATTTCAACTTGAGTATGCCACACTCTCCACCACAAAGCTGCCCTGGATGAAGGCTATGAGAATATCTGAGGGATTTCATGTGGGTGTGGGGGAACCCAGGCCAGAGCTGAACCCCAGAGACCAGCCCCCAGACTTGATTTCCAGCTGGAGTAGTTGACAGCCTGGTCCTGTGAGCCTTGCCCCAGGATCTTAGGATGAGGATCTGTGAAGGACACATTGTAGCCCAGCCCTGACCCTGATTTCAGAGTGAGGTGTCAGAGGCAAAGGCGGACCAGACAGCAAAGACCCCATCAGGGTGGCCACCTCCCGGGACTCCATCTTTGCAGACTGAGGCAATGGGGCCTCAGCCCAGGGCACTGGGGTCCAGACTCTGTCTGCCTGGCCCGTGACTTAGTCTGGTCTTTTCTCACCTTCTGCAGGCAGGCACCTGTGTCTTGGAGTATGCCACTCCCTTGCAGACCTTGTTCGCCATGTCACAAGATAGCCGGGCTGCCTTTAACCGGGAGAATCGGCTTGAGCAGGCCAAACTCTTCTGCCGGACACTCGAGGACATCCTGGCAGAAGCCCCGGAGTGTCAGAACAATTGCCGCCTCATTGTCTACCAGGGTGAGGGCTTGATAGGCTGGAGGGCGGGAGTCAGGGGTCCTGGGAGGGTCAGAAGGAGATATGGCAGCACCGTTCCGAGCATTTAAGCCCTGCCCCTCCTCCCCTAGGAAAGTTCCCTCTCCTACCCTAAGACACTAGATTGCTTTCTGAGGTCTTTGGCTATAGGCTGTGGGTGGAGCCTGAAGAAGTGGGTCCTGGGGGCCCCTCCATTTAGGAATGCCAGAGGAAGCAGAAGAGTCCCAGGCCAGTGTGTACCAGGCACAAGAGACCAGGGCTGCAGCCTCTGCCCTGCCACTTCCTCGCTGTGTGACCTTGGGCAGGTCTCTGGCCCACTCAGATCACCATCTCTAAAAGCGAGAGAGTGGAATTCCATTATCTCTAAAACCACTTCTAGCTTTAGGAGTCCATGAAACTCTAGCCCCAGTGGCTGGGGGTGGGTAGGAAGAGGGGTAGGAAGGGTTAGCGGATCTTCCCAGCAAGTCCTCTGGGTGTGCTCAGAGTGGGAATGTTTCAGGTCCTCACCCCACGCTCCTCTACCTCTCTGCTCCATTCCCTGCAGAGAGAAGCGGCTTCTTGCTGTCCCAGGAAATTCTCCAGCACTTGCGGCAGGAGGAAAAGGAGGAGGTTGCTGTGGGCAGTGCGGGGACCTCAGTGGTGCCCAGCTCCACCATGCTGTCCCAAGATCCTGAGCTCCTCATCAGCGGTATGGAGCAGCCTCTCCCTCTCCGCACAGATATCTTCTGAGACCCAGGTCACCTTGCCTGAACCTCCCAGACTTGGAGCCTCACCTCCAAGACTCCGGACTGGGGGCTTTCTCCAGCGGCTGGGCACCTGGCAGAGCCATCTCCTCCCACTGGGGCCCATGCAGAGAAGGCCTGGCCTTGGCATCTCAAGAGGAGCCCATATCCTCGGGCAAGTCGTTTCACCCCTCCGAGCCTCAGCGTCCTCAGTCTGTGAGCCGAGATTATGACCACTGCCCCACCTACCTCGAGGCGCTGCTGTGAGGACTGTCAGCGCGTGGGAGTTTTCCAGACTTTAAGCATCTGGTGACTTAGGGATGTGCCAGGCATCCACTGAGCCCTCCAGACCTCCTCTCCACCCTTCTCCACCTCCCCTGCCCTGGACGCTGACAGTCTGGACGGCATCAGCACGCTCCCCGGCCCTCCGGCCTCTGTTCACGTGGGTGAATGGGGAGCCCCCGCAGGAGAACGGGGAAGGAGCGGGTATGAGGTGGGCTAGTCATTCCCCCAGCTCGCCCCCCTGCAGTATCAAGGACACTATGGGCCCTCCTGCCCGGCAACCTCCCAGCACCCCTGTCCGTCTCCAGGTTTCTGGAATTGCTTCCTCCCCATGCCCTTTCAAGCCTATTGGTGTATTGGGTCCCTACTGGGCTACTCACTGTCACTTGTGGTTTCCTTATCCCCGGCCCTTGCTCAATAGTCCCTTTTAAATACACTCCCCAGATTACCCAATTTGAGTGTGTCATTTTTTTCCTGCCAGACTCTAACCGATAGAAGGGATTGATTGTTTATCCCCAGTGTCCAAATCTGCTTGCATGCACATGTTTCCTCGTGCCCTCCTCATCCTAGAACAGGACAGTGGGGTCGTGGGTGTCATTTCTGTGGGGACAGAGGCCACCAGTCGGGCTGAAGGCATAAAGTTAGGTAGCACCCCCACCTACCTGGCCTTTTAGTGTCTATGTCCCAGTGGGAGGCGGGGGAGCAGGGACCAGTGGCTGGCCTGGGCCAGCACACAAGCTCTGAGAGCTACACAGATGCACCCTGGGCAAGGGGCCACTCAAAAGAGCAGGGGCCACTGGATGAATATCCCCAGGTAAGAGAGCCTGCAAAGAGATAAGAGTCTGTATGGGAAGATGGGATACACCTGAGGGGCCTTGGACGACACAGCCAGCCACCATGCCGCGCCTCATGCCTCCATGGCTACGACCAAACCACTGCAACAGCGCCGCCGTGCAGACACAACTGCCCCACCTGGGAAGGACGGCAGCCCATCCCCACCAGCCCCCTCTGTTCCACCAGGCTGGGCTTGTTCCTTGGGTGTCCTTCATGGAGATCCCCAATGCCATCCTGCTGTCCACAGAAGCCGGCCCCAGCTGAGGTCTCTGCAATCTGTGAAAAAAAGAACTTCAACGTGGCCCATGGGCTGGCATGGTCGTACTACATCGGGTACCTGCGGCTTATCCTGCCAGGTGGGCCATCCTCTATGCTCCTATTTCCAGACCTATAAGACAGACAATAAGACACACAGCCTCCTGTGTTTCCAGGACTTGCTATACCTTTCAAAGCATTTTCATAGCCTTCCAAATCATTTGATTCCCAAAGCATCCTAGTAGGTGTGAAGGATGTTGTTATTATGCCTGATTTATAGTAAGAAATATGGGGCTTAGAGCCATTTCGTGACTGCCCAAGGTCACCTGTGAAGTCTTTCTCTTTCCTTTTCTTTCTTTTTTTTTTTTTTTTTTTTGATGAGGAGGGACAGGGTCTTTCTCTGTTGCCCAGGCTGGAGTGAATTGATATAACCATAGCTTACTACAGCCTCGAACTGCTGGGCTCAAGCCATTCTCTTGCTTCAGCCTCCTGAGTAGCTGGGACTACAGGCACAAGCCATCATGCCCAGCTAATTTTTAAAATTTTTTTGTAGGGACAAGGTTCTCACCATGTTGGCCAGGATAGTCTCAAACCCCTGGCCTCACGCACTCCTCCCACCCGAGCCTCCCAAAGCTCCCAGCCATCATC